TTCCCTTTTGTGGCAAATCAAGTGTAGCCTCATTACACTTGCTATTTACCCCGACCTCTCTCTTTGGATCGGCTGATCCGACTCTGGCCTCCAATCCGAATCCCTTCATTGTCTCATAGATCCGTTTCTTATCTTTCTGGTTGACCGATTGCACTCGGTTCCAGTCCCTGTGTGCATTTCACTCCAGGCGCTATTTCTCATCGCACTAGAAGCACGTACACTGTGGCTTAACTAAGCAGAGTGCCAAAGCTCTGATTCCCATGCTTGCAGATATCAGGCCTTCCCTTTACAGTTCCTCTCCTTGATTAAACCAATGTTATCTGAGCAAACTGTGGACGCCTATCTCTGGTCGCATGAGGCATCTCAAGTGGATTTCTGGTGCATTTTGGGCATAACGCTGAATTTCCGTGATGATTTGCTTAACTGTCAGGCCCACAAATTTGTACTGGTTTATTCAAAACGGACCTCACTTACTGACAACGTCTTTACTATATTGACGAAAAGCCCTGCCCCCCACTTTCTTCAGTGCGATCCTTTTTCCTACGGTTAGCGGTAAATCCTTGATTCAGGCGTCTCCTTTTTGCTGGACTTGCTCTATTCTTGTATTCCCCGAGTTTGCTTAGGCAGTAGGCAAAGTTATCGTAAACTCTACCTTCCTCAAATCTCGTGTTCATTAGATTTTTTCACCAAAGATAACAATGGCCTGCCTAATCTTCCGCATCCTTGTGTTGACACCGTATGAGGCTCTTCTTTCTGTTGCCTTCCAATTGATCTCGCGTCCAGTCTGTGCAATGTGTTCCGTAAGTTCTGATCTTTCGGCATCCATTTTTCTGCAGAGCCTCTGATGTTTACTGATTCCTGTGCTAATTTTCTCCCCGTTTCACCAATATATCACTGTTCGGAGACTTCACATGATATACAGTAAACTCCTGAACAATCAAATTTATCTACCCTTTGATTTTGCGTTGGCAGACTTATGAGAAGTGTTGATTTCTCTATCATGGCCACCTAAATATTCCATTTACTCAATATTGTCCGTAGTTTTTGATATACGAAGAAAAGTTGGGTTTCGAGGAATCTCTTGTTTCATAATTGTTGGGATTACTTCCATTTCGAGCTATGAAGAAAAGTTGGGTTTCGAGGAATCTCTTGTTTCATAGTTGTTGGGATTACTTCCATTTCGAGTAGGTGAGCTGTGCAAATAAATATGAAGAAAAGTTAGGTTTCGAGGAATCTCTTGTTTCATAATTGTTGAGCTTACTTCCATTTCGAGTGAAAGTGTTTGATGAAGAGATTCGAAAGTCGGTTCCACCAGAAGACGTCGGCGAATTCCTCTTTACCAGCTGTCGATTGGCTTTACTGGAAGATTCATGCTGATGCTGTTTCCGAGGCAATCTCCTTCGATTCCGGTGAACACGTGCTGAGCTTTCGTCCGTCATATGACGGACGAAAGCTCAGCACGTGTTCACCGGAATCGAAGGAGATTCCCTCGGAAACAGCGTCAGCATGAATCTTCCAGTAAAGCCAATCGTCCTCAGAGCGGTATCATCGTCACAACAAAATTGAAGCTTGCGAGTCAAGAAAACTCACCGGCAAATCCCTAAAAAGTGGTATATATACTAGATACGAAGAAAAACTGGGTTTCGATGAATCTCCTGAGATAACATTGTTA